ACTTCTTGATAAAAGCCATTCTCACTGGAGTTAAGTGATATCTAATTGTTGTTTTGATTTGCATTTTCCTGATGATTAGAGATGTTGAGCATTTTTTCATGTTTGTTAGCCATTAGTCTGTCTTCTTTTGAAAAGTTTCTGTTCATGTCCTTTGCCCATTTTTTATGGGGGTTGTTTGGTTTTTTTCTTGCTGATTTCTCAGAATTCTATATAGATTCTAGTTATCAGCCCTTTATCAGATGTGTACCATGAGAATGTTTTCTCCCATTCTGTAGGTTGTCTGTTTGCTCTCGTGATAGTTTCCTTGGCTGTGCAGAAGCTTTTTAATTTGATCAGGTCCCATTTATTTATTTTTGTTGTGGCTGTGATTGCTTCATAAATTCTTTTTTTCGGACAATGTCTATAAGGGATTTTCCAACATTTTCTTCTAGAATTCTATGGTTTCATGCCTTAGATTTAAGTCTGTTATCCAACGTGAGCTGATTTTTGTGAGAGGTGAAAGGTGCAGATCCTGTTTCAGTCTTCTACACGTGGCTATACAATTTCCCAACACCATTTATTGAATAAGGATTGTTTTCCCCAGTGTATGTTTTTGGCTGCTTTGTCAAAGAGTAGATGGCTACATGAGGATGGCTTTATATCTGAGTTTTCAGTTCTGTTCCATTGGTTTATGTCTCTGTTCTTGTGCCAGTACCATGCTGTTTTACTTAAGATAGCCTTGTAGTATAGCTTAAAGTGTGGTAAATTTATGCCTCCCAATTTGTTCTTTTTGTTTAAGATTGCTTTTGCTATATGGGGTCTTCTCTGGTTCCATACAAAGCGTAGAATCAATTTTTCTACATCTGTGAAGAATGATGTTGGTATTTTAATAGGGATTGCATTGAATCTGTATGTCACTTTGGGTAGTATAGACATTTTGACAATGTTGATTCTGCTGACCTATGAGCATGGTATATTTTTCCACCTGTTTACATCCTCTGCTATTTTCTTCCTCAGAGTTTCGTAGTTCTCCCAATAGAGGTCTTAATTCTCCTTAGTTAGATATATTCCCAGGTACTTTTTCTTTGTTGCTATTGTGAAGGATATTGAATCTTTGATTTGTTTCTCAGTTTGACTGTTGTCAACGTATAGAAATGCTACTGATTTGTGTACATTGATTTTGTAATGTGAGACTTTGCTGAATTTGTTTATCAATTCCAGTAGTCTCATGGCAGAATCTTTGGGGTTTTCTAGATATAAGATCATATTGTCATCAAAGAGCGATAATTTGACCTCTTCTGCCCCCATTTGGATGCCCTGGACTTCTTTCTCTTGTCTGATTGCTCTGCCTAGGACTTCTAGTGCTATGCTGAATAGAAGCAGTGATACAGGGCAACCTTGTCTGGTTCTGGTTCTAAGCAGGAATGCTTTTAATTTTTCCCCATTCAGTATGATGTTGGCTCTGGGTATATATAGCTTGTATAATTTTTAAGTAAGTCCCATCCATGCCTATTTTCTTAAGTG